CCCGACGGCAGTGACTCCAGGGTCGGCTCCAGCGAGACGTACTCGTCGCTGGCTCGCTCTTCTTCCGTGATTAGCCGCGCCTCCTCTTGCAGGGACTCGGCGGAGACAAACTCAGGCACCTCTTCAACCACCTCCTCCGCCATTTCTTCAACCACTTCCGGCATCGCTTCGATTACCTCTGGCAACTCCTCAACCATCTCTGGCAATTCTTCGATTACCTCTGGCAACTCCTCAACCATCTCTGGCAACCCTTCAATCACATCTGGCAGCTCTTCAACTACCTCTGGTAGCTCCTCGACTGCTTCCGGCAACTCCTCAATCACCTCCGGTAACTCCTCAACTACCTCTGGTAATTCCTCGACAACTTCGGGTAGCTCCTCAATCACCTCCGGTAGCTCTTCAACTACCTCTGGTAGCTCCTCAATCACCTCTGGCAACTCCTCCATCACCTCTGGCAACTCCTCAATCACCTCCGGCAACTGTTCAACTACCTCTGGTAATTCCTCGACTACTTCGGGTAACTCCTCAATCACCTCCGGTAGCTCTTCAACTACCTCTGGTAGCTCTTCAACTACCTCTGGTAGCTCTTCAATCACCTCTGGTAACTCTTCAATCACCTCTGGCAACTCCTCAATCACCTCCGGCAACTCCTCAATCACTTCTGGCAACTCTTCGACGATCGCTGGCAACTCTTCGATGATCGCAGGCAACTCTTCGACGACCTCCGGTAACTCTTCAATCACCTCCGGCAGCTCTCCGATTACCTCCGGCAGCTCTTCGACCACCTCTGGTAACTCCTCAATCGGTGCTGGTATTTCCTCAATTGCTTCGGGCAACTCTTCGACTGATAGTTCTTCGACCATTGTCGGCATTCGCTCCACAATGTCTTCCCGTTTCTCCTCCAATATGCTCATCTCTCTGGTCAAAGGCAGAACGAGTTCGTCTTCAACTTCCTGCTCCTCGATTTCTTCAACAGGCAGTTGTTCTTCCTCTCGCACCTCCGGGAGTTCCTCAACTCGATCCACTTCTACTACCTCATCTGCTTGTTCTTCCAGAATATCATAGACCGGTTCCTCAACCATGATCTCTTCCTCCACTACTTCAGGAAGCGCCTCATCGAATACTTCTGAAACTGTTTCCTCCATTTCATCCAGAACTTCTTCAGGAGGTTCTTCTATCTCGAGTTCCACTTTTTCTTCTTCCGGAACTTCTTCGACTTCAATCTCCTCAGGCTCCACTTCATCAATTTCCTCTTCTTCGATAATCGTTGGCTCCAAAATTTCTTCCTCCGCTTCCTCTTCTTCTGGCCTATGAAGCACAATTACAGGGATCTCTTCCTCTAGAATGGATTCAACACTACTATCGATCTCTTCTATCAGCTCTTCCACCGGTGATTTCAAGACAACTTCCTCGTCTTCCAAAAAGTCTTCCAGGTCCTCTTGAATCTTCTCGTCAAAAAGATCCTCCAGGGGCTCTTCCAGGAATTCGTCTAGCGGTTCCTCCTCGAGTTCTTCCACAAGTTCTTCAAGCGACTCTTGTTCTTCCACAATTTCTTCAAGCGGCTCTTCTTCCTCCACAATTTCTTCAAGCGGCTCTTCTTCCTCCACAATTTCTTCAAGCGGCTCTTCTTCCTCCACAATTTCTTCAAGCGGCTCTTCTTCCTCCACAATTTCCTCTTCTTCGACAACCTCCGGAGCTTCTTCAATCGATTCTCCAGACCATGAGAATCTCTCTTGAACTTCTTCAGTAATACTTTCCTCCGACTCCGGGAAGTCTATCCATGGCGCCTCTGAGACTTCTTCTTGTACCTCCTCCTCCTCCTGCTCGTCTGGCCATTCCGCGAGAGGTAGTTCTTCCGAGGGCCATGCAGCTAAAGGAATCTCTTCTGACGGCCAGCGCCCGAGTTCCATCTCTTCATCAGGAATGGGCTCCTCCTCTTCCATTGCTTCCTCCTCCAGGATGGTGGGCAGAGGAGTTGGAGGCCGCTTCTTGGGAGGTCCTCTCCGGCTAGGCGGAGGTGGCTTCAGTCTAGGACTTGGTTCAAGCACGCTCGTTTCCCCGGAAGTATAGCCTGCAGAGGACGTGTAGCTGGATCCACTGCTGTAGCTGTCAACGCTGCCACTGGTAGACGTGTAGCTGCTGCTGCTATCATAGCTACTTGAAGTGTAAGAGCTGGAGCTGTAGGAGCTGCTGTCGTAGCTGGAAGATGTGTAGGAGCTAGAGGTATAGGAACCCGACGACTCGCTCTCCGACGTGTATGATGAGGAGCTTCCGGTGTAAGAGGAACTAGTGTACTCTGAGGAGCTGATCTCCGTCTCTTCAACGATTTCACCGTCCGGCGTGGTCTTCTTGGTCTTTTTTTCTTCGTGGCGATGCTTCGCTTCCTTAGCCGCTGCGGCCTTGGCCGCGGCCTCCACTGCGGTCTGCTGGCGTCGTGCTCTAACCACATCATCCGAACGGCGCTTCATGTGGAGAAAGTAGTCATCAGGGACCTCGAAAAACGGATTGAGATATGCCGCCTCGTAAATCTCATCCGGATACCCGACTTCTCCAGTGGTGTTAATTACGATTTTGGGTACGTCCAACGGGGGCCAGTCACCCGGCTCCCGCTCAATCGCTTCCCACTCCTTGATAGTGTCAGTTGCGATCCCTTCGCCGTTGAACAACAGCCTGTCATTCGTATCGGGATCCCGCTTTTGCTCAACACGCGCTTTCGGTTTGCCTGCCCCCGTAAAAATGATCTCCGGCCCCACCATGGGCTTCAGCTCAGCGTAGTCCAAGCAACCGATGGCGATGCCAATGACCTCTTCATAGTCCAATGATCCTTTGCTTTTATCCACCACCCTCTCCTGCGCCTCATCCTTCTTGACCTGGAGTTTCTTCCCCGCTTCCTCATCCTTCGGTCCACCCTTAGCTCCGCCCTTGACTCCGCCCTCCGCGTCCTTTTTCTGTTGATCTGTCTTTGCAAATTCCTGAAAGCGGTTAGCTAGCTTGTTCCGTCCGCCGCCCCTCGTCTTTTCCTCTTTTCCTTTTTCCACAGCCTTCACTTCAACCTTAGTTGCAGATTCTTTCTGAGCTTTTTTCGTTTCCGGTTTCAACTGATTCTTCCAATCCTTTGTGCTGGAGTCGAAGCCTTCAGTGAGATATGCAACCGAGTTGTGAAGGTCAACTTGGACGTTACATCGTACGGCTTCCACCTTCAGGTTGACTGTTACTACCTTGTTGGTCTTCTCTTTGGGAACTTGGATATCAAAGTAGCGAAAGGTGTCCAGAACGGGTATGGTTATGCGAAACTGTTCTGTATTGGGTTCTCCACATACGCATTGTTGCACGAGCGGAATGATGAAGTTTTCATCATCTATATCCCTCTGATCAAAGCTGATCTTGTTTTTGAACTTGGACAAAATTGGTCGAAATGCTTCAGACCAAGGTTGTTCTTGTACTTGATAATAATAAAGTTCACTGACGTCCTGAAGCATGTCCACTAGCCGCTTGGTATTATAACCCCACCATTGGTCTGGTCCCTGGACGACGTCTACTAATTGACGTTGTCGTTTTGATAGTTCATCCTGGACAACCTTGGCCGAATACAAAGCCGGTATGTTAGCTAGTTCATCACCGGATAGGTTAAGCTGATGCCGCCTTCTTGGCACATACTCCTCCGCCAGATACTGTTGTACCAGTTGCCTCAGAGACTCCGGGTCCATTTTGTCAATATTGGCTGAAACCAAGTCGTAGACGTCCTCCATATAATCTAAATTGTAATAGTTCTTCTCGTGTAAAGGACCTATACCCATTTGAGCCATCAGGTCATCCTGAATCTCAGCCATGGTCACCTCCGCAGGAGTCACCTTCTCATTAACCGTTCCCATGTCACGGTGCTGACGCAAATCTGCGGGCAAGTAATCCAAATCGCCAAACGGAGTCAATCTAATCATGATTGTGCCCAACTGCTTCCTTGACGCACTGTCAAACACCGGCCACACCCCAGTGATACCTGTTCTGGCACTCGCATGCACCAAAGGCACAGTCACCACACCCTTGATAGCTGAAGCATCACTCCTTTCGTCACTGTCAAAAGCCTTGCGGTCCGCTGCCATAGTCAAATGGAAAACCAAACTAGGAGCAACTGAACGCAACTTCTGCTCCTTCGTCTGCTCTGGGATGCGACGCAACATCAGCACGGGACCTCGGTGAAATTCGCCATTCGGAGCCGCCTGCCAAACGGCATGATTGGTTATCAATTCCTCCTCGTGCGTTACATGCCGAATGTTAATCCTTTTACTTGACCTCCGCGCCGTCCCTCCTTCCTTGGCTTCTCCTTCCTTGGCCTCTCCTTCTTTGGCTTCTCCTTCCTTGGTTTCTCCTTCCTTGGCTTCTCCTTCCTTCGCCTCCCCTTCCTTCGCCTCTCCCTCCTTGGCTTCTCCTTCCTTGGCTTCTCCTTCCTTCGCCTCTCCTTCCTTGGCCTCTCCTTCCTTGGCCTCTCCCTCCTTCACTTCTCCTTCCTTCACTTCTCCTTCCTTCGGCTTGGTTTTTCCGTCTTCTACTTCCTCCTTCTGAGCAGAATCATCAGCAGCGTCGGAAACAGGAGCTGGTTTTATCTCAAAGTCTTCCTCATCGGGTTGGTCATCGCCCACCATCTTAATTCGGGTCGAGAGGATTTTCCCTGTGTCCCTGATATTCAAGAAGCCACATTGAGCGCGAATGCCTCGGGGACCTATTGGTTGTAGTTCATTAACGGAGTAGCGTTGGAGCTCATAGACACGATCAGCGAACGATCTCATTTTCGTGGGTCTTAATGACGTGGGTTTGCGACCATCTAGCTGGTCTTCTGCGTCCTCCTCTAATTGCCTCTTGTGTGTCCTCTGGTAGACGGGGGCGCTTTCCCCCTTAACCCATTCGCGGTTGGTGGAAGAGAAAGGATAAAATGAGGCCGGTGGTGGAGCTACGTAATTTTCCCGGTGATTGTCTGGGTCGTTACGTCGAGCTATTATTTGGTCGTACAGGTCGTGTAATCTCGGATCCAATTTTTTTACGGGCTCTAGAGCACGAAGAGAATATTCTTGGGATTCCAGATCTCCACGAAAAGCGAACACACAGGCCATAGCCACGGAATCGGCTAGGGACTCTAGGTGCAATTGGAATAATGAAGAAAGATCGTTAACCCTGCCTTCAATATCATCGTAGGTCTCGCAGACGTCAAGTATGTAGTTCCGTAACTCATCTGCGCGTTCTCTTTCACGTTCATGCATCTTCTTCTTAGTCATCAGCTGAGACAGGAGTAGGTAATTATGCTCTTCAAGCATACTTTTTTCGTCCCTGATCTTTCTCACATGAGCCTCATACTTTCGAGACATCTCATACAGCTCCAGCGCTACCGGGTTGTCCGCTATCTCGGACGGGGGCGGTAAAGACTCCTCCGAGTCTACGAAAGTCGTAACCGTTTCGCTGCTCTCTGTATCTGCCGCGGACTTTTTCCCACGCCCCAGGTCTTCCACTGCCGGCGACTTCCCATGCCGTAGCGCCACTTGGACTAATTGTCTAGCCGAGAGCCGTTTTGAACGTAGTTTCTTTCCGCCCCCTAGACTTCCCCCTCCAAGACTTCCTTTAACGCCATCCTGACCTTCGCCATCCTTTCCCTTGGCGTGCTTGCTCCCACCTCCCACCTTAACCTCTGAGAGCTTTCCACCTGAACCAGCACGACTGAGAGCCTTTCCTAGGGTGTCTTGCTTTGCGACCGCGGGAGGGTCATGTCCCGACGGTAGGACTTCCCCCTTTCCCTTAACTTTTCCCCTTACATGCTTCACTTGACCTCCGTGCCTCGTGTTTCCAATCGCCTTGTTGATCGCTTGCTCCATTATTGATTGACCGACATAGGACTTCACAGGCCCTTTCAAGTTTTGGACTCGCTTCGTCGGAGCCTTCAACACCATACTCGTTCCTCCACGGAATCCCTCGCCATTCAGTGCCGACCTGAGCACACTGGATGGCGACGCTAAATTGGACTCTTTGTCCTTGGGATCAAGAGACGAAATACGTGACACAAACGGCGCCTTTGACGAACCATCTTGCCTCAATCTCATGGACGATTTGAGGCCAACGAGCCGCGGCGATTGCGTGCGGGCATGAGATTCAGATTTCTTATTGGACGGGGACGAAGACAAGGCAGTTGGAGAGGGCGCTTGCAGTGCTGCTTTTCGGCCCTGCGGGGTAGCACTTTCCGCGGTTTTATCTGACTTTGAAAAATTGTGGTCCACCATTCAAGAGGTGCGCCTTCTCGCGCGCGAGCCCTAGAAGCGCGTGACGCGCGCTGGGACTTTACGACCACCCAGGGCCCACTGTAGATCTTACTAAACGTACTGCCCCGGCGTCCTGACTGAGTGGCGCGCTCTGATTGGATTCGCTTAGTCCCTATCCAACGCTGGAGCGCGTGCACACGCGTGCGCACACGATTGCGCGTTGTTCACATTTATAATTTCGCAGCGATTTTGCTCATGATTTGCACGGCAATGGGATTTACACTTCGTATAGCAACCTTGGCCAGTGTGCCCTTGTTGGCTCTGACAATATGGAAGAGGGTGTAGAGCTCTACGCCGCCAACAAGCCGTAGGCCAACAAATACTTGGCCAGGCGCGCCGAAGGGGCTTTCGGCGACATAGGAGTTAGGTAGCTTCTTAATGGCGTCAACGATCTGACTGGGGTCCTGTTGCGTGCCGTAGTTCAGCTTTACAACCTGTTCTTCGGCTTCCAGTTGTTGCCAGCGGTGCATCATGTCCCCGGGCGAGGAAGTCAGTTCGCCGAAAAGATCTTCAGGCCTGATTTTGAGCTGGTTCATAGCGTAGTCGTCGGGGTAAGAGTCGTCGCCGTCGTTGACGGTAAAGGCAAGCGTGGTGCCGAGTACGATCTCCTCCTTTTCTAGTAGCAGTTCACTCAAGTCGGATTCCTGCTCCCGTTCCATGAGCATCCAAATGGACTTGGTCATATTGTATGGCAGCTCCGGAATCGTGGTTACTAGGGCCACTTTATACACTGGCGTGTTGGGTCTGCTCGTGCGCAATTCCACATGTTCGAGAACCTGGCTTTCGATAGTGTTTGTGACATTCACCTGCACGACAATGTACTTGCCCTGGTCGCACACGTACTTGAGCGCCTTAACCTGGTACTCCGCCTCTGTTTCCGTGAGCAGCATGGACGTCGAGATAGCGTCCACGTTTTCGATGACCACGCGGTTCTCCGTGAACTTAGCCACAGTTTCGACTACGCGCAACTTGACGTCTTGCGTACGCACCTGCGACATGGCTGCGGCCGGCTGCACCGCACCGCCTTCCGTCTGGTCAACAGCGCTGCTGATCACACCCGCCTTCGCCTGCGTCTTCCGCAACGCCACCAGTTTTTGTTCTTCGTACTCTGCGGCACTCGGGAGCTGATTCACGTCCACTCGAGCCGGGTTGTTGTGTGCCAGGTGTTTGTTGCACTCGTCAATCAGCGCGTCTACCGAGAACTCCAGCTCCGAGTCCTCGGAAACCAGCAGGTCATTTATAGTCGTGGACCCGTCGGACACGTACCCGTCGACATTTACGTCGGCTCCCAGGACCTTCAGACTGTAGTGCACCACTTCCCGGACCTCGTCGTTGGTATCGTTGACCATATGGGACTTGAGGGCAGCCACCACTGCCGGAGCGAGCTCTGGACATTGCTGGGCGATGGAAGTCATGGCGTCGACCGCGGCAGCCCGGACGCCCGGCGTCTCCAAGATGGCGCGGTTCACTAAAATCCGCAAGTGCGTGCCAGGAGTCTTGGTCTTTGGAATTTCCAGGCCGAGGAAAGAGATAATGTAAATGAGGATCGACTGATGCTCACAGTCCTCTATAAAGTCGCACAAGTCCGCGATACACTCTTCATGTATGGCCGGATACACACTCGAAAGCTTAGTCAACGTACTGACCGCGCACGCCTTAGCCTTCTTGCCCCCCTCATCCCGCAACTGCGCAGCAATGAACTTTACCACAGTAGCTACCTTCTGAGGGTCCGATAAGCATGATTCCTCCAAAGCATTGATGATCTCCACCTTTTGGCTGTCCGACACGTCAACAATCAAGTCCCCCACCTGTTTCATAAAGAACTTCTTGTCATGCGGCGCGTCGCACTTCAGCAACGTAATTAACGCCAGGACAGCCACAGGCTTGCAAGAGTCCGTCAGCAGTGGTTCAATGTCTTCACACAATGTGCTCAGGAAACGAGGCTGCTTCCTAGCCACGTGATATAAAACACGAATTGAAGCATACCGAACCATATCCTTATCATGCTCCAAAAACTCCTTGAGTATGTTCAGGGCAACCGGGACGTTCAAGAACCTCTCAGGGTCGTTGTTGAACTTCGGGCACTCCAGTGCCAGCGCAATTGCGCTCTTCGCTGCCTCCAGTGCCACCATATCTTCAGTGGTACGCGTCAGTTCCAAATTCAGGTATTCCAGCAAGCTCGAGTCCAAATTGGAATCCGCATGTTGCTGCTCCAGCAACTTGCGACACTGTCCAATCAAATAGGTTTCAGCCACCGGATTTCCAATTACTGCCGAGGCAAAATTCGTTATTGATCGATGCAAAGCCAATCTGTCATTCTTATTCACTTCAGATAACACCTGAATAGCATGCGCTTGAACGGTGGCGTTGCTCGAATTCATTTGACCAGCAATTTGCACAAGGCAGCGCTTCACCAATTCAGGACATATTTTCTGAAGATGGAAACAACAAAACAACGCCGTGGCCGCCAGGAATGGCTTCTCAGACACGATAGCTGTGTTAAGTTGACGCTCAAACGATACTGCAGTCTGCGAATCTAATATTCGAACAATCGTGCGCAGCGCATTCGCGCGCAAACACACAAAGTCTCCTGAAATATCTTTTGACAAACTCGATGTTATAACGAACGATACATCCTCAGAAACGTCCAGGGTCCTGAATAAAACATGTACCATTCGCCTTACATTCTTGGATGACGATTGAAAGAGTCGCGTAGCGGCGAAGAAGATATCCACTACCTCTCGTTCGTCGAATTTTTCTCCCTGAGATTTCGGAGAAGATGGAAAGGGAAGGACGGGCGGGGCGTGGTAGCAAGCCCCGAAGAGGGCAACGGTGATGGAAGTCGGGGTTCGAAGTTTATGTTCGAAGTTTATGTTCGAAATTCAATTTACCTTGTTGAGCAAATATAAGATTTTGGTAAGTCCCACGAGGCATTTCTTTGAATCCAGGGTGGGCGCTTTGAAATCATTTAGGGCATGCAGCGCTCCGATTTTCGTGAAAGCCTGTGCGTCATCAGGCGATTCGAATACCTCTAAGGAACAGGTGTGCACTTGACATACGACTTACGTAGTTTGGGATCTATGAAGTCAAGACCAGCGGTGGTTGAGATCCCAGCGATGACTTTCTTCAAAGAAGCGCCAAAATCGAACATTTTTTTTGCCGTAAATGAATCGTCGAGTTTTTCAAGGCACCATCCCCACGTTGACGCCGGGAGTGCAGGTCGGTGGCGACTTCGAGTTGCAGCCCAACGCGTCCTTCGTGGCCGACCGTCTGGCGTTGTTCGACGAGTTGAAGGCGGCCCGAGAGGCTGAGAGGGCGGAGTTATTGAAGACTAACCCTCCGAAGCCCATCACCATTGAATTGCCGTCTGGAGATGTGAAGGAGGGGCAGAGTGAGGTTACGACCCCTCAGATGATAGCTGAGCAGATTAAAGTCAAAGGGTGTATTGTTGCGAGAGTTATCTTTTTGGAAGACGTGAAGGAGTCGGCTGTTGATGCTCTTGACGATCTTTCTGTTGACGACGTCAGCGACGACGGGCACGATGAGAACTCGCGACTCTGGGACATGAATCGTCCCTTGCCGGCTTCCTGTAAGTTGGAGCTGTTGAAGTTTGACGACCCGGATGCCAAACACGTGTTCTGGCATTCTTCGGCCCATTTGCTGGGTCTGTCGGTGGAGCAGGCATTTGGCGCCAAAGTCTGTATCGGTCCCGCTTTGCAGAACGGTTTTTACTACGACTTTTATACTGGCGACAAATTGGCGGTCTCGGACTCCCATTACGCGCAGATTGAGAAAAAAGCCAGTGAGGCAGTGGCTACCCAGGCCCGGTTTGAGAGGCTGGAGATTACTAAGGATGAGGCCAAGTACCTCTTCCAAGAAAACCCCTTCAAGCTGGCTATCATTGACTCTAAGGTGCCCGAAGGAGTCATGACTACTGTGTACAGATGTGGACCGTTCGTGGACCTGTGTATGGGCCCGCATCTCCCCCACTTGGGGTGGATCAAGGCGTTTGTTATAGAGAAGCACTCTGCGGCCTACTGGCTGGGAGACTCTAAGGGCGACTCACTGCAGAGGGTGTACGGAATTGCATTCCCCGACGCTAAATTGCTGAAGGAGCACAAAAAGCGAGTGGAAGAGGCGAAGCAACGCGACCACCGGTTGCTGGGTCAGAAGCTTGGGTTCTTCTTCTTCGAACCCATTTATGCCCCGGGCTGCGCCTTCTGGACCCCGATGGGTACGCGAATCTATAACAAGCTTATTGACTTTATCAGACTGGAATACCGCTATAGAGGCTTCGACGAGGTCACCACCCCCAATCTTTGTTCTTCCGACTTGTTCAAGGTCTCCGGCCACTGGCAGAACTACAAGGACTGCATGTTTGTCCTAGACGTTGAAGGCAAGGAGTGGGGCCTTAAGCCGATGAACTGTCCGACGCACTGTTGCATCTTCAAGCACATGAATCTCAGCTACCGACAGCTGCCCATTCGTATTGCGGACTTTGCTGCCCTTCATAGAAACGAGTTTTCGGGAAGCCTTACTGGCTTAACACGCGTTCGACGCTTCCAACAGGACGATGCCCACATCTTCTGCGAGCTGCACCAGGTCCAGAAGGAAGTTGCGGGCGCGCTCGAGTTCCTGCAACATTGCTATCACCTCTTCGGGTTCACCTTCAAGGTCGTTTTGTCCACTAGACCCAAGAAAGCACTCGGAGAACTCTCGCTCTGGAATACCGCCGAAAAACAGCTCGCCGATGCACTTGATGAGTCAGAAATACCCTGGTCCATTAACAAGGGCGACGGCGCATTCTATGGGCCCAAGATCGATATCAAGGTCTTCGATGCACTCGGTAGAAGCCACCAGTGCGGCACCATTCAACTTGATTTCCAGTTACCCATCCGCTTTAACCTTCAGTACAAGACGGCTGAGAATTTCGAAAAGACTGAGGAAGCCAACAAGGCTACTGACGAGAAGCCAGCTGTCGACAACGCTGCCCCCGAGACCGCCAAGCCCGAGGCTGCAAGTCCTGCCAAAGCCGTTGCGGATGAGACAAGTCCTGCGACGGCCGTTGCCGAAGTGGGCATGGATGAAACGCAAGGCAAGGCGGAGACCAAACTCAGAGTGTTGGATGGCAGTCTGGAAACGGAGGTGCGTCCTGGCTTTGCTCGGCCTGTAATGATCCATCGTGCTATTCTGGGGTCAGTGGAAAGATTTACTGCCGTTCTCATCGAGCACTTTGCGGGCAAGCTGCCCTTCTGGCTATCTCCTCGCCAAGCACTCGTTTGCCCCATCAGTGAAAAGTCCTCCAGGTACGCAGCATGGTTGAAGGATGTTCTCAACTTGGAAGGATACGACGTGGACGTAGATACCTCGAACAGCACCATCAACAAGAAGATTCGGGAGGCCTCCATTTATTACTGGAACTACATGCTCGTCGTGGGCGAAAAAGAAGAAGCCGATAGAACCATCGCAGTGCGCTGCAGAGAAGACCCACAAAGACAGAAAATCATGACTTTACCAGAGCTCCTTGAACTATTTGAAGGTCTAAGGAATGTGGCTAAACGCAGTCAACCAGAATATAATTTTTCGTAAATCAAATTAATGCTGGGAAATGATTGTGGTTCGCTATGTGGAACTTTATCGACGCCTGGATGGTTACCGTTTGATTCCTGCGACGGTTATGGCTAGACATTCGGCCTTCACAGTTTCAAGATCTGCGTCCAATTGGGCGAGTACTGAGACTTGTTCCTTGTACTCGGCTAGGGCAGTTCTAAACTCGGGGGTCTCAGCGTTGTGGGACGATATTTCGGGCGGGGCTGTGGCTTGCGCGATCTTGAGAGCTTTGTCCATGTCAACTAGGCTCCGTAGTCGAACGCAAAATGGTCGTCGCGAAGAGAGCGTTGTTATCGACAAGTTAGCGTCGTTAGAACGCAGACCGGCCACCGGAGCTCGAAGGTCTGCACCTAGAGGTTTGTGCGCTGGGTCCTGCCCCAGGGCAGAGGGTGTGCCCGCTAAGGGAGTGCCGCCAGAGACCGTGCCGCCAGAAACCGTGCCGCCAGAAACCATGGCGCCAGAAACCATGGCGCCAGAAACCATGGCAGCCATGTTGGTCAAGGAGCCCGATGCGGAGAGACCCGATGCGGAGAGACGATTCGTTTGTGGCGCGTTTGTTCTGAAGTCGAGTGGTCGAGGGGTCGCGGTGGAAATGGCACCAGGAATGACCTTGACGCAGTTAAGGTAGTGGTGCGATGGAGGTGTCAAGGGCGTTGTCTCCGTTGATCGGATGGGGATCTCCTTTTCGTTGGGTCTTCGTTGTCCAGGTTTCGTCGGAATCCCGGGGATGAATGACTCACCGCAGACGTCGTATATTAATGGCGGCCTGTCCGGGCACTTGACGGCAACCGCCTGGAAACATCGCCACTCGTGCGCCGGCGACTTGGTCGTAATGGTCGCCGTGATGTGCGGCCCATCGCACGTCACATCCGTGTTCGGCGGTAGGCAAAACACCTCCAGCACTTGCTGCAATGTCGGCAAGTGACTGCTCAACGGAATCTGGATAAATGAAAACGGGTAATAGGTCAACCCACCACACGTCTTACACGTCTCCGCTTCATACAATAACTCTTCCTCTAATTCCAGCAACTCCGCCATCGGGTCCACCTTGCCCGCAATTGGACTCGAACCCGCGGGACTCGGAGCAGGCAGCACGGTCGGCTTCAAACCGTCCCCCGGTTTCCAACCATCCACCGGCTTCGAACTGTTCGGCTTCGAACTGTTCGGCTTCGAACTATCCGCCACCTGGCCTGTCACTTGTTTTGGCCGCAACTCTGGCTCCGCAACCGCCACCTTGGACTCCAAAGGCCCTGCTTCGTTCGGGTGTCCAAGCGGCGCTTTCGCCCCACTAGCAACCGCCTGCTCTCCAGCCGCTCCTCCCCCAGGCACCGTTGCTTCAGTAGTCCCTCGTCCGGACGATGCGCCTTCCTTCTCGACCCCGCTGCCACTGTCCGCAGACTCGGCCACAGCCGTCTTTTCGGCGACCGGTTTCGAGCCGGTCGGAGGACCAACGTCCGGGACACCAGGCTTACTTGCTTCAGCCTGACTTCCTTCAGCCTGACTTCCTTTAACCTGGCTTCCTTCAGCCTGACTTCCTTCAGCCTGGCCGTCTTCGGCCTTGCCTCCTTCAGTCTGGCGTCCTTCAGCTTGAGTTCCTTCAGCCTGAGCCCCTTCAGCCTGAGCTCCTTCAGCGTGAGTCCCTTCAGTCTGAGTTCCTTCAGCGGGAGCTCCTTCGGCGTTGGTTCCTTCAGCCTGAGTTCCTTCAACCGGCTCGTCCACGCCAGGCTGACTCGACACGGCCAGCAAAGTTGTCTCGTCGGGGACTGACGGCCGTGCTTCTCGCACCGGACCATCTTCCGTTTGCATGGGTACATCTTCTGGGGGACGTTCAGTCGTGCTTCCATCAACCTTACTGCCCTCAACGTTACCATCATTGATTTTACTAGCGTTATCCTTACCACCGACGTCAGCCTCACTACTAGCATCAGGCTTGCCATTGTCAGCCTTACTACTTGCGTTGCCACCGTCACTCTTGCCGTCATCACCCTTGCCGTCATCACCCTTGCCGTCATCAACCTTGTTATCGTCAGGCTTGCTGCCGGCCGTCTGCATAGGAACCGGTGCGGTCTCGCTGTGTGGGTCTGGTCTAGGCGGGGTTGCCAGAGGCGGATCTGTAGGTTGAACAGCAGTGGTAGTATAAGAACCAGCTTCGGAGTGCGTCTTGGCTTCTGTTTCGGTCAGCGAAAGACCAAGTGTCGGTGGCTTATTAGGTGACGATTTGAAGTTTTGGTTTACAGACAGTTCTAGGGCGCGCGTCCACCGTTTTACTTTAGCGGGGTCCTTACAGCTGCAGACGGGCGGTACCGACAACGGTTCGGTCTTCGACCACGCGATAGCTTGGAAGGCCCGGTCTTCTCGGGATGGGACTCCTCCACTGGTGGGCTCATGGTGCATGCGGCTGTGCCTACTGCAAGTCCACGCTTTACACCGCGGGACATAAAAGTTGCCTTGGAAATACAACGGCTGCGGTGGTTCCGGCAGCGAGAGCAAGAACCGCAGAGACTCAGTGCTCTTGGCCTGCGATGCAATCAAGGAAGCGACGGAAACTTGCCCCGGTCCAATCAGCCGCATATACGGCAAGCCAAGTCTACCCGATGTCTTACGCTCCACCTTCTCCACGACCTTCAACCTGTCGGGGTCAACTCTTTCGGGATTGCGCTCAACCCGTTCGGTGCTGCGCTCTGTCCTTTCTGAGTTGCGCTCAACCCTTTCTGAGTTGCGCTCAACCCTTTCCGGGTTACGGTCCGGATGGCGTTCCGAATTACGTTCAGGTCTTTCGGAGTTGCGTTCATTTCTCGGACTGTGGCTTTCTTTCCGGATGACGCTGCCGCCAAATGGGCGAGGCAGTGCGACCAAGGTTTCCCCCCGCGCTTCTTGGTAGAGTCGGGCTGGGTGGAGACTGACGTCTATCATGTCTCCAAACATTGAGAGCGGCGGATGGACGGTGAAGTATTCGGTCTTCCGCCGGTTGTACGCCGAGGGTACGACTGGCGTCGACGGCGATAGGTCCTGGAAGAAGGACGACAGGGGCCTGCAATCGCGCTTCTCCACCTTCATGCCGCCAGGGCAATCTATATAGCGGTTACTCAGGCATCCGTACAGACCTAGGCAGGATGGGACGTGCATTCGCACGCCTGTAGTCGCCGGACGCAAGCTCTTTAGCCAGTCCAGCTCCTTGCGCACCTCGGTTACGAAATTCCGGCGCGCCAGGTCGTCCTCGGGTGCTTGGGCGCGCTGGCCATGCGCTGGGGGGTGCGGGACCCGGTCTTGCGTTTGGCGGCCAGCAGCCGGTGTCCCGGTTCCTGGGCCTTCGGCGTCCGGCTGTTTCCCGATTTCTGGGCGGTCGTGGTCCGGCCGGCTCGACTTGAGGTGTTTCGGGGGCGGCTCGCCGCTGGATCCACTCCAGGGACGCTTGGCCCGCTCCGCGCCATCCTTGCTTTCGGTTCTGGTCAAATCTGCGCGTGCTGGTGGGTCCGCTATTTTCACTTGTATATATCCGGGGAGAAGTTGGAAAACCCCAAAACCCACAGTACACCCTGCAACTTGCTTCGCCTCCATCCGAGCGCATTGAACATCATTTTTGTGAGCGAGCACACGCGTGTTTGTCGGTTCAAAAAGGGCGCGATGAGTTGTTGGTGCGCTAGCGGGGGTGCACCAGTTGAGGATTCGATGCTGTTCAAGCGGTTAGTCAGTCGGTTGTGGCAAACTCCCGCCGATAAGGGAAATGTGTTTCCAAAATGTGGACACTACGCTCGGGACCGTCGTTGTAGAAGTAGGGCAGGATCCGAAGAGCAGGCAGAAGTGGACTGCCTGACTAGTACTCGTGCCAATAGTAGAAGTCCCCAGCGCCGATATAGCCACCGACTGGAATTTGATGAAACGTGTAAGCCGGCTACGATCCCTCGCTGCGAATCCATCCCCCGCTACGAGTCAATCTCAGCCGACCTTCCGCCCTAACCACCATCAGCACCCTATCAGCACCCTATCAGTCGGAATTGTCCGGCACGGGATTGTCAGACAGAATCCGCCCCACCTTCGTTGACCACCTTCGTTGACCACCTTCGTTGACCACCTTCGTTGACAACCTTCGTTGACAACCTTCGTTAATAAATTTCCATCTATGTTCTGTTTGCTTTAGATGTTTACCGTGTGGATTTGGAAACGTGGCTGATGGATCTACAGGACAAGCCAGTGGCAGCGTACTTAAGTAGAAATATAGCTAGCTGATCACTAATGCATGGAACGAGCAACTCGGTGGGTTCTCCAGGTCGTAGCTCACCAAACAAGGGCATCCCAAGATCGTTAAAGCTCCCCGGATGATGCCACATATTAAAGCCGCCTGAGCATCCGCAGAATTGCCAAATGAAGCCGTCCGTTTTTTTTCCTTCTCGCTCAACAGTGTCGCTGCGTCATTTCCACACTTCACATTAATCAACGGGACCTTACCACTATCCATCTACAACACATTACTTACGATACCCCCACATGTCCCCGTGTACACCCGGGTTAACATTACACCTTCATAGGGCAGTAGTCTCTTCAGCCAGGGGGACGCTTCCTCAAAAATAATGTAACCGCCTTTCTTGTTCGTCTGCAAACGGTCTGCTTGCTTCTGGAAAAACAGCTGCCACAATTCTCGGCAAACAAATTTGAAGATATCTTTCTGGACATGGCACCGCGATTTTTCCAACATCAACTTATCCGTTATGCGTGCTCCTAGGGAATAGCCGAACATCTCCAACAAAATCCGAGCAACTGCAACACTTTGTACCTTCACTTATATGTATCTACCCGACGATTCTGGCGATCCCACAGGTGCTAGACGATCGGTTTCCCACCCACCGCACGTGTGTGTCTTGGAACATAACCCATTGGCACGTGCCAGACGGCCCTTTCCGGCACGTGCCAGACGGCCCTTTCCTGCCTGCCTTATGCCGACCGAGTGCCTTACCTGTTGTTGTCGCACAAAGACCTCACCAGTTGAAACCGTATGGCGTTGGGCACGGCCAAGCTGACGCTTTTTGTGCTGGTATCTTCGAGTGCTTTCACGGCTGATGGGGGCGAAGACGTTGCCGCCGAAGGAGCCATCATTTTAGGATGTCTAATTGGGCGCTGCTCCAAAAGGATTTGGAAGCACTCGGCCAACTAATAACTTTGGGAGAAGATCATGCGGCACAGCAGAGCTTAATTGAGGCTATCAAGGCGAGAGTAAATGAGGCGGCTAAAGTGGGCCAAACAGCGAGCGACGGTGCGGACTGGAAGAAGGTGGAGCCGTCGAAGGGAACTGAAGCGGAGAAGGTGGGAGAGGAAGCCAAGAATAATGATGCGCCTCCGTTAAAGTCAGCGGCGGCGGCTGCCGCCGCAACTGCTGTGGCAGCTGCTGGAAAAGCTGCAGCCGAGCCGAGTGCTTCACCGACAGCGGTGGCAGCGGCGCCAGTGAATCCCATGAGGGCACTATTGGCGTCGATCAGTATGGGCAAGCAAGTGGAAGGTCGGGCCAAGGCGCCTCCTCCAACTGGAGAGGCTGTAATTCGTAGTAAAAAGCCTCCTTTAAAAAGGGGTGGGGTAGCCAAGTGCCCAGGTCCAAGTCGATTGGAAGACCGGGTGGTTAGTCCGGAGTTGATACCGGCAGTTAAGCCACCGGATAACGGGACGCCTAAGCCCATCAATTGGTTCGGCATTCCGAAGACAAAGGTTGAGGGCACGATCTGGGAACGAATGCATGAACCCCCGATCACACTGCATCCCAAGTATGAGCAGTTAAATGACACCTTCTTCGAGATGGAGGACCGCAAGGGTTCGGAGATATTAGCGTGTAAGGCGCAAGAAGAGAAGCCCAAAAAAAAATCAGTTTTGCATGGGGACACAAGACGAGTCCAAGGTATCGAAATTGCTATCAAGGGTTTGGGTCTGGTTGATGACTTCAGTGTTATTCGTAGAGCATTGTCGGAGTTGAATCTGCACCCCAAGCCTGTGCAAGATACCCCTCAGTCACCCAGCGATGGGAGTGGGATCGTGCACGACTCGACATGGTCACTTTCCGCATACAAGGTAGAGCGCTTGCTGAGTATCTATCCCAGTGCGGATGAGGTACCTAAACTTTATCAACTGCGTACTGAGAATGATATTAGTAATATAGCTCCTGCAGATCGCTTCCTTCTTACCTTACTTGACATACCCAGATTTCAGGAAACCACTAGAAGCATTTTGGACTACTATTCTTTCGAACGGTTTGAAAGCACTGTGCCAACAAAGCTACTTAAATTTAAAACTGTGTGCAGTTGTTTGCTAGCCTCCTTGGATCGTAAAGCTGGCGCTCTTTACTCGGTGCTTTCCCTGATTATTCGGGTAGGTAATTATGTCAATTATAAAACCAAGAGACCACTCGTATGGGGTATCCAGATAAATTCAGTTGAGTCTCTGAAGACTATTAAGAGTGTCGATCAAAAAAAAACACTTCTGAGAGTCATTGCAGAACATATACAAGAACAATCCAAGTCAATATGGGAGGAATTAGACCCTCTTCCTTCCTGCATCGAACAATCAGAAGTTGCCCTGGACGATGTAGAAAAACAAATTGGGGAGTATAAGAAAGCTCTGACTCATATCGAGAATGAGCTTTCCTTCCATGATCAACATATCAAAACGTCCAGTAGCCGCCGCCCAGAACTTGTCATGCAACCACTCAGCCGTGTCATGCAACCCGTCCACGTGGCTGGTTCTAATCCAGGCTCTAATAATTCAAGCTGCAACTCCAATTCGACTGCCGCCGGTAGCGCCGTAGCCGCAGACACTTACGCGGCTCCCCCCATGTCGCCCGTTACTACGAGTCATTCTGTCGCCAGCCATCTTACTAACCGCATGACAGCCAGGTTTGGTGGCCCCTCCGGCGAAGGCGTCCAGAGCATCTCTGGGACCATCTCGGGTGGCATGACCTGTGGAATTACTGCCACCAATGGTACTGTCACCACCCCCGCTAGTGCCCCCAATGGTAATGTTCCCGCCCCCAATGGTAATGTTTCCGCCCCCAATGGTAATGTTCCCGCCCCCAATGGTAATGTTCCCACCCCCAATGGTAATGTTCCCCGTACGGACATCCCACTTGAGGCAAGTGCTGTATTTCTCGACAAGTTCCTGCCGTTCGTGAGACGTGCCGGCGCTCAGTTGGAGGCGATTGCGGCTTTGCTGAAGGAATGCGAAGAGTTGTTGGCGGAGATCGTCGTTAAGTTTGGAGACGTAGGCAATACCAGAACGAGTGCGGAACGGTTGGTCTACCTCAAGAAGATCGGGTTGTTTGCGAAAGACCTTTTGGCGGCGTATCGGGAATTATGTTTTGAAAGGGAGTCAGAACGAAAGCGTGAGGAGCGTGAGAAGATCAAGGCCTCTACACCAAATCGTCGTGCCGTTTCGAGACATATATCCTCCCGTAAGGCAGTTGACGAGGACCACGAAGCGCCTGGACGTCGCTTGGCCCACGTCGCGAGCCGCCTGTCTAAAACACCTACTCGCAAGGCAGATGACCATGACCCAGATACCAGGCGACATCGGGAATTCCTGGATAGACGCTCAGATGACATCGGCATGGACCCCGGACTGCGTAGGCTCCTTGACGCCAGACTCGAAGGCGGAGTCTCATCAAGACTAGCAGAAGGCAGAGTGGATGCCAGGCTCGGAGAACCGAGAATCGGGGTCGAGAGCAGACTCGGAGCCGACGGCAGGCTGGGAGTCGATGGTAGACTCGGTGTCGACGGCAGGCTCGGAGTCGATGGCAGACTCGGTGTGGAAGGCAGACTCGGTGTCGAAGGCAGACTCGGTGTTGACGGCAGACTCGGAGCAACAGAGGGCAGGCTCGGAGCAACAGAAAGCAGACTCGGAGCAGAGGGCAGACTGTACGAGAGCAGGTTAGCGAACGAGGGGAGGATAGCGAATGAGGGCAGGGGGATGACGAACGAAAGTCGCTACGACGCGGGGCGGTATGAGGCGTCGCTGAACCGACATCATACTGATCGCCTCGAGGGGCGGCTTGTGGACACTCCGAGTCGACTGGGGGAGTCAAGTCGTTTCGAGGCGTCTCGGTCGGGTGGTGAGTTCCGGCACGACGCGCCATACGGGGATCCGCGGTACGCGGAGGTACTTTCACGTCGTCAGGAGGCTATGGATCCTGCTTCGTGGCGTTCCTACGATTCGAACCCGCGATATTTTACGCAGCTGGATTCTCCGGCACCTTCCGTGGAGTCGATGCCGCGATATAAGCGCAGCCCTTCGGCGTATCTCGAATCGGCCTCCCCCGGTCAACCGCCTCCGACGCGTCTAACCACGCAAGTGATGTATCGTAGACACCCCGGAGTCACCCATATTCCGGGTCCCCCCTCCGATAGTCGCATGGTGACCGCCAACGGCTTGACCGTTAACGGCTTGAGTGGGAACGGCGTGGGTCGGCCTATGACTGTAATGGAGAGTCGACAGTTGGAAGGGAGGCCGTCAGCCGATACACGGCTACTGGAAACTCGTTACGACCAAGACATCCGGGCGAACGTGCGTTATGACGTGCGTGGTCTTGAGTCTAGAGCGAGCATGGTGGATACCCCATACAATCGGAAAGGAGACCACACGTACTGCGCAGACTACAGAACTCCCACGGAGTTCTCGAGGAGGTTAGGGTCTGGAGGCGACGACTATTATAAGCGTCGACATTTCTAGTTTTGCACCTAGTTAGTTAGAAACCATTTTGTAACCCTTTGTGGAAATTCCACTGTCAGACTTGCTGGTCTAGAAGATGCCCGCCAGACCACCTAGTTTTGCTGGTCTATACCCCCTTCAGGCCTTTGCCCCCTTCAGGCCTTTGCCCCCTTCAGGCCTTTGCCCCCTTCAGGCCTTTGCCCCCTTCATGGACAAGTAAATTTCATCTGCAATAAAAATGTTGGCAGGAGATGATATAGTGGGTCAGGATGAAGTGTCGTCTTTGAAATCTAGAATTGCGGAATTGGAGTATGAGAACGCGTTATTAATATTGGAGAAGGAGGAAGGGCAACTTGCCGAGATGCCGACTTCGGTTGGCAGCATAGACCCATTTGTGGTTGCCGAAATAACCGAGCTTCGAGTGCGACTGGGACAGGCCGAGAATACTGTAGCCACATTAAAGGAGAATTCCACAACCACCAGTTTTACGAGCGAGGGACCCCTAGGACAACGATTACTTGAAAAATGTCGACGACTAATGAAGGAAAATGACCGACTCGGAGAGGCATTGGTAACCAGCAGGATTTCTCAGCTGGAACAGGGCGGCCACTTCCTTCAGGAGAAGGAAGCCGTCATGGTCACGCAACTCAAGTAGGTTTGGATCACCTTGACAGTTCAGGAGTGTACCACGCATCTCAAATTAGCTATTCTTTAGAGCCTTATTAAGCTACAATATGGCAATAGAGAGCAAACTGGCGGAAAAAGATCGAGAGCTTTCACGGCTTAAAAATATAGTCAATGTAAGCTGCTTTGGGATGGAAAGGAACATAGCCTGAGGAGTGTCTGCTTCAGCGGGGGTGAAGCGGGGGTCCAGCGGCCAAGGTTGATGCGGTGGTCAAACACGGGGCTAAGCCACGGAACTTGAAGAAGCACCGGCTGGTTGGGAAAGGGAAGGTGGGAAGGGTGGTGATCAGGGTCATGTCTCTTTAGGAACTGCAGCAGGAGAATGCTGAGCACCGGAGTCGGGAACGACGGCGAGGTAGGTAGACGATTTTTCCCGGCAATATCTATTGGCTGTCTGGCGGCTTATTGGCCATCTCACGGCTTATTAAAATTCGTCAATGGTATCGTTCCAATGTGAGGGGTGTGGAGACGTGTTCAAGAAGCCCAAGGTGAAGGGCCATACGGGCAAGTGCTACAACGCTTGGGCTTTCACATGCATCGACTGTCACATGACGTTCCAAGGCGACTCATTCCAGGACCATACTGAGTGCATAACAGAAGACCAGAAGCATAAAGTGACAAAAAAGATTAATCTAACACCAGAGGACAATTCTGCCCTGACTACCAGGACCCACTCCGCGGCTGGCTCTGATTCTAGCTCTGATTCCAGCTCCAACTCCAGCTCTAACTCCAGCTCTGATTCCAGCTCTAACTCCAGCTCTGATTCCAGCTCTAACTCCAGCTCTGATTCCAGCTCTGATTCCAACTCCGACTCCAGTTCGGATTCAAGCAAGAAGTCCGAGAACGGCGGCAAGAGCGGCAGCAAGAACAAAACATCTAAAGACAAACTAACTTCTACGATAACATCTCGCAGCAGCTCTGATGACGACAGCTCAAGTTCTGACAGTTCTGAGTCGGAGGATGAAAGGCCCGTCGCTGTGGTCAAACCCTCATCGTCTGGTAGCAGCTCTGACAGCCGCTTGGACAGCAGCTCGCACTCCGAAGCTGAAGATAAGCCCGTAGCTAAGGCCCAGTCGTCCAGCAGCAGCTCGAGCAGCAGTTCTGACAGCAGCAGCTCTGAGGATGAGGATGAAAAGCCTGCCCCTGTGGTCGGGCCGTCAACGTCCAGTAGTGGCTCCGATAGCAGCAGCTCTGACAGCAGCTCTGACAACAGCAGCTCCGAGTCCGAGGATGAACATAAAAAGCCGGTTGCTAAGGCTAAGTCATCCAGCGGTAGCTCCAGCAGCAGTTCCCACAGAAGCGCTGAGTCTGAGGATGAGAAGCCCGCCGCTGTGACCAAGCCGTCATCGTCTAGTAGCAGCTCTGACAGCAGCTCTGATAGCAGCAGCTCC